GAACGAATTCAACAACTTATTTACACCTAATTATTTTGGAAACACTTATGTATGAAAAACAACTTTTGTCGCTTATGCTAAATAATAGCCGTGGGTAACACAGTGCAGCGCCGCGCCATTGCGCTGATACCGAGAGCTGAGTTACTGGCGCCGACACCGATTCTCACAACTCAGTAACGCAATGGCGCCAGCAACACCGGAACACTCACAACACCAGGCCGCACAAAGAACCAGCAAAGAGCACCCAAAAGCGAAGTGTCACTTGTAAAATGTGCAACACAAGGCGAATTTTTACAAGGTGGTGTTGCTAAAATTAGCCGCTGTCCTTCTGAATGTGAAGGATATGTGTTTGTTGTATTTTTGGGTTTCGAACTTGGGTATACTTGAGTTGTTTTTACCCGACCGATAGCACCTTGTATTAATTTACCTTAGTTCAACACCGGAACACTGACAACACCGGGTGTCGAACACCCGAAATAGAAGTGTCTCTTGTTAAATGTGCAGTACAAGGCGAATTTATACAAGGTGGTGTTGCTAGAATTCGTCGCGGTCTTTCTGAATGTGAAAATGATGGGTTTGTTGTATTTTTGGGTTTTGAACTTGGGTATACTTGAGTTTTTTCTCAACCGATATCACCGTGTATTAATTCACTTTGCTGCGGCGTGCAGCAATAAAGAAAATGAGCTTTAGCCTGAAGAGGCGCAATTGCGCCAACACGCTGTGCTGACTCCGATAGTGGCGCTGGAGCTAGTGTGTCAGCGCCAAAAAATTTGCGCCGTTACCCAGGCCTACTAAATAAACTAAAATAATTGTTCACTTATATGAAACTAGAATTATATTTTAACAAATAAGGACTTTCCACGAAAGATAGGTTTTTCTTAAGGCTGATTTAAATGAAACTATGTATATACAAACATAGAGATATATGAAATTTAGATCCCAGAACTCGCAGGCGGAGGAAATATCGAGACTGCCTCGATTAATATGACCATCTGAGTAACAGGGCCAAATGACCAGCGTAATTTTATAGCATTCGGTAAATATGGTCGAGGCGCAGCTGTAACATTTGATAGCATAACGGTAAACCGTCTGTCACGAAGGCGGAGTCGAAGACAAAGCCTATTAAAATTATATGTCGCTTCTGAACGTTTATTGGAATTAAAATTCTAAAGTTTTTTCATCCCCTGCCGACACGCGCTCGCTGTTTGAAAAACTTTTTATCTTTACCGGATATTGCAGGAACCCGAAATCGAACCTGGCTCCAAGGAATATCAGTGCACTAATCTAACAACTCGCCTACAGCGCACAGTGGTTCAAAATTGGCATTTTGTGTTCACAGTTCACCGGGCCCTCATTTATCACTCAATTTAATTATTTCTCTTTTACACGAAACCTAATAAAATTTGCAAGAGGCCGGTTGTGCTCGATTTTTCCAGTTCCAGTTAATAAATGTTACATAATAAAAACTAGATGAAAACAATTGTAGGGCTCTCCCAAAACGAAAAAAAAAAAAATAAAAATAATTTGAAATGTTTTAAAAAAAAATTTCACCAAAATAATTTTTTCTTGTTTTTGGTTTTTGTAAAAATTTTGGGTGTGCAGTTTTATAGATAATTAAATTTTAGTATAATAAAATGCAAGTTGTAACAGGCTAAGAGCTCACGTTGATTTTTGATAATATAACAAACGCTTTTATTTATTTCCCCTTTAGCATGCAGATGTGCTCGAAATGTTTGCGAAAAAATTTTTAAAAATCAACCCGACCTCTAGCCACTTGTAAATATTATATAAATATATACATATATAATATAAATATATTATATCAAAATGTAATGACTTATAAAACTGAATACCCAACATTTTTCTCAACTCAATATTTTTTTAATTTTGGTGAAAATTTTTTATAAAACATTTAAACATTTTTTTGTGTTTTTTTTTTTGTTTCGGGGCACCCTTTAATTGTTTTTAACTCTTTATTATGTAACATTTATTAACTGGAACACGAGAGTCGATTTTTTTCAAAATTGCTACTTTTTCTGCATTGTGCACTAAAAAAAATTAATACGAACAAACAATAATTCAAAATTCGGGCTAAACTGGGCTCTTGCAATTTTTTTTGGTTTCATTCCAAAAAAAATATCAAATTAAGTGAAACATGAAGGCTTCAGTGAATTGGGAGCACTAAATTCCAGTTTTTAACCACTGTGCAGCGCTGTTGCTTCGACCTGAGCGCTTGTTATCTGTGTTGCCAGTTAGGTACTTTTGAAGCTGAATTTAGGTCTTAATTTTTCTATTTAGCTCCGAAAATTGGGTTTTAGTCTAGGTCTTTTCAAATATATCTAGCACTTTTTTAGCTCCAGAAAATTTTAGTTGTATTTGGTAATATAGTTTCTGCAACGTGCGCGGGAGCACAAAAACTATACCGGATAGTTATTCGGGCACCGATAAGCTCATACGGTTTATTCTCTCTCAGGTGGCCACTAAAGAAAAGGAAAGCCAAAACGTAAGCCTTATAAAAGAGCAAATTTCGAAATGCAGTGAAAAAACATATATTTGTATCCCCCAGAAACTTCGATCTAGGTTAAAGAATTCAAAAATGTATTAGAAGAAAATCCTTTTTCTGAATGCGCGAATTTCGTTTTACCTTACTAATTTTACTTTTAAGAGCTGGAAGTAAAATTTTTCTGAAAATTTGTTGAGAAAGAATTATTCATAATCCGAGTTTTTATGGTTAATTCAAATATCTTAAATTGCAAATTTTAACAGTTTGTAAAGTATTTTTAGTTCATCGTCTAGTTTATATAAGTATATGCATACATATAAGTATTATAAGTGCCATAGCAACGAATTCGAAATATATGCATCTTATTTTGTCTTTAAAATTTTCAGCACTTAAACTTATAAAATTCGTTGTTAGTATTAAAATTGTGGAAATCGATTCAACAAATGCTCAACTTTAAAACACATTTAGCTCCTTTTGGCTATTATTTTCGAACGTTTTAGCTCCAAACGAAATTATTCTCTGGCAACACTGCTTGTTATATTCATTAATTAAAATTTAGCCTACTTTCCAGCTGAGCAACTGATTAGAAGTATTAACTTACCAGTAATATGGCCATTAAGTTTATCATATTTATTATCATGCGTCATGTTGATCCCTCCTCACGTCTGAGGTATGAACATTAGACTGTTGATTTGTTTAAAATTTTTAGGGTTGAGGGATAAACATAAATAAGAAATAAATGTGAAATGTAAGCTTGATTAGTACATTTTTAAAAACTTTACAGCTCAAAAACAAAAACAAATCGGTTTAATAGTTTTCCAAATATCTCGAGAACGGGGTGACATCAAAATTATCTATGAAAAGAAATACTTTTTAAATTTTTTTTCTCGAAAAATGTTTCACATACAAATTTTTTGGTATAAAAAATTTGGTTTTGAAAATATGTCATCTCAAAAAAAAAATTAAAAAAATCACATTGGTACAATAATTTGAGTTATGATTTTTTTTTTACACCGAAGTTGAGTAAAATGAGTACATAACAAATTTTTTAAATTTGTTCTCAAAGTATGTATGCATGAGTATGCAGTTTTGTAGCCCATTAAATTTTAGAATAATAAAGTGGAAGTTTTAAGCAACTGCAAAATTGCGTTGATTTTTAATATTTTTTAAGCTGACGGCTTTCTGCACTTTTTTCTTATGGAAGAAAATGTGAAAACCGTTTTCAAAGAAAATTAAAAAAAAAAATAACGCCAGTTTTGCAACCGCTTAAAATCTGCACTTTATTATACTAAAATTTAATGGGATACAAAACTCCATGCTCAAAAAAATTCTAAAAAAAAGTTTAAAAATTTCTAAATTCGTTATGTACTCATTTTACTCAACTTCGGGGTTAAAAAAAATCATAACTCAAATTATTGTAGAGTTCACCCCATAACACTATACTTAAATATTGCGCAATACTCAGAGCTACTATTGTGATTTTTTTAAATTTTTTTTTGATTTGGCATATTTTCGAAAACTGAATTTTTATATCAAAAAATATGTATGTATGTGAAAAATGTGTGATTTTTTCAAATTTTTCCTCGCCCCGTTCTTGAGATATTTGGAAAATTATTAAGTCGATTTGTTTTTGTTTTTGTGCTGTAAAGTTTCTTAAAAATGTTCTAATTAACCTCAAATTTCATATTTATTTGTTATTTATGTTTATCCATCAACTTTAAAAATTTTAAACAAATCAAACACATGAAGTTTGGTATGGAACACAAAAAAATAATTGCGGCAAATTTTTTTTTTTTTTTTTTGTGTTGACGGTGCTAGTCATATGCTTCCATACAAAGTGTGTTCGACGACTTGTTTAAATGGAAAAAATTAACAATAGAAGTTCTTATTTTAGCGAGCACTAACTGAAAAATTAAGACAGGGTGGCGCTGAAATTTTGCCACAACTTTTTTTTTAGCGACAACGAAATTTTTTTATGGGGCCAAAAGAAAATAAATAGTCGTTTTATTTGGCACAGTCTAATGTACATGAGTATCTAAAAATATTCATGCCCATAAATATTTTTCACAAACCTTACGAAACACAAGATATGTATGTATATAAATTAATCGTTACTAGTGATGAGATTCTCCTTACTTCTCTACCACTGTGCAACCACTATGTGCAACGATTTCACAATTCTGCGTTTGCGCATCTTCTCATTCTCGTCAACATCAAGATCTGCATCATCAACATCAATATCAACATCGTAAAATGAGACATTTTATTGGTGCAAGTAATTGCGTTCAACCGTTGAAACGAGATTGCAATAGCTGCATTTACAAGTACATATATCCGCGCTAGTAGGCGATATGAGCATCAATGCCCAGTATGACGACAGCTGTCTTGAAAGTGCAGACTGCTATCAGCATAAAAAAAAAATAAAGTATCGCGTCTATAAAAGCAACAACTATCGATTTCAATTTTCATTTCATTTAGTATTTAGTATAAAGTAAACGTCGACATGGGGCCTAAATTAACGGTGAGTACAAAACGCTGCAAAAAGGATAACATCACACACAGGATTAATTAATTATTACCTTGCACCGCTCATTACAGCTGGGCGCGCTAGTATTTGTGGTCGCTGTACTAGCCACGGTTAGAGCTCAAAATGATGGACGTTACCGCGCGCCAGTAGTACCAGCCATTGCGCGCGCCCGTGCGCGTCCTACCGGAGGAGCTAATGACGGCCGCTATCGGCCAAGTAACGATGGCCGTTATCGTGGTGGCAATGATGGGAAATATGTTCATGTAGATGTGCCATATGTGCATGATGATCGAGCTGGTGGAGAATATAAAGGCGAAAAGGATCGTTTCGGACCGGGTGGAGGTGGCGGTGGTGGAGCTGGTGCCGGTGGCAGAGCAGGTGCTTCTGGCAGAGGCAGTGGTGCTGGACGGTTAGCAGCTGGTAGTGGTGCTCTAGGGGCGGGTGCGGCAAGCGGTGCTGGATTAGGTGCCGCAACCACAACACGCAGACCAGCGCCTAAACCAGCGGCATTGGATTTAGCAGCAAAATTGCCAAAGGGTAAAGGAACTGGCGAAGGAGGCAATGGCTGGCGAATCCTGCAACTATTCGATAAGGAGGAAAAGGATGGCTATCGTTATATGTAAGTGTTGACTGTGCAATACTAATACGATTTATGTGCACTCTCGCTAAAGGTGATTTCAAAAAGTTGGTGCGTGCAGTAAATACTTTTTGTTCGTCTGTATTAAGTAATTTTCGAAATGTAGCTAACAGCGCTGCTAATAGCATGCAAGTGTTAACAGTGGTTAGCATTTAACAGCGCAGAATATACATACATACATACACAACAACAGCGAAGTGCTGAAGTGCTGAAGTGCTGAAGTGCAAACAATTTAACCGAACGCCTGAATATATGCTTCGAAATTGAGGACATTTTTTTTTTCTTTTCCAGCTATGAAACCGAGAATGGAATTTTGGCTGAGGAAAATGGACGCATCGAAAAGTTGGCTCCGGACGCAGATGGTTTGCGTTCGGCCGGATTTTACGAGTACACCGGCGATGATGGTGTGCTCTATCGTGTCGATTATGTGGCTGATGATAATGGCTTTGTGCCACAAGGTGCACATTTGCCAACTCCACCGCCGTATGTAGCCAAATTGCTGGCNCATATCTACATAGTTACATACTAAATTCCTTGTATACAATTTAATTTTCACACACACATTAGAGTTATAGTAAATTTTTAATTAATTTGAATAATAAAAACCTAATTTTTGCAAGCAAATTGGAATGTTGATGAAGCAAACTGTTGGAAAATAAAGAAAGGAAAGCTGCAGCGTTTCAAAAGTATTTTTTATAATTCCTGGCACTAGATATTTATACTCGCGTGAATCATAAAAATTTTTAGCAAAGTATTTTATAATAAACCAGTTAATAAATGCCATAAACATTTTGATTTTGGATCTTTATTCGTTAATTTAAATAATTTTAATAGTGCATTCTCTTGTCGGTGGATGAGTCCAAAGTTTCCACAATCGCCTCGAAATCAACAAACGTTTCATTGTTGGTATTGTAGGCCTGTAGGCATTTAATGCTTTGCAGCATCACCAACCATATGGAATAGGTAAGGTTACGTGGAGGTGATTGCCTCAATTAAACGGTGTGAAGAGGCGCGTATAGACCAAGTTGAACATTGTAACACCACTAAAGAGATCTCTCACTATGTTCAACAGTCTCCGATTCTTTCTTGCCCTGACAACTGCGACAGAAATTCATGCTTCTGCTATGAAAAGGTATCCGATTTTATACAAACTACTTTGATTTTTGAGGAATGCTTAAGTTACCATAAGTAACTTGACAGATTTTCCTTGTTACGTAACATATGGACACGGTTTTTCATCAGACTACGCCTCAAATGTGTAGCGGTGTTGACCGTTAAAATTTGTTTGTTTTATTATTGCTTTCTTGGAGCTGACTCCACTTAAATATATGACTGTAGGTAATCATTTTAAGCCGACTTAACAGGGTTTCGGTACAGGTGGAAAAGTGGACTGAATCTTGTCTTAAAGGTCATGTGCCGAATAGATCTTCAGAAATTTTCTAGCAGTTGAGCTTGAGTGCAGTAATCCGACCGCCGAAAACTGATGTTAGGTGAGTGGCTTTCGAGTATACCATATTTCCTTTGAGCACTAATTTGGAACCATCGATGCAGACCGCCGCAGATTTAGATATATAGAACTATATGCTCTTCCCATTCGCTTCAAGAAAGTAACAAAAGTTCTTGGGTATATGTAAAAAACGAATCATTGTTTTAGGCCCTTAATCGACGTTGAGAATAGCATTTCATGTTCTAAGGACCGTTTCCTCAAATAGCTTTTAAAATGTATCTCCCCTTTGAACACAAAATTTTGATCTGAAATATTGCGTTTGAAGGGCATACAAATTTTATAACCATTGCGATGCCCAGGGGGCTTCCCTATGCCTATCCGACCCTAAGGCTTTGATAGCTGCCTGACTGTCAACGGCAAGGGCAAGTTTAGATGGAGCTCACCAGCCTTGCCGCCATGTCGATTGCATATATCTCAGCCTGAAAAACTCCGCAGTGATCCGCCAGTCTATAAGACTCTCTCAGCGATAACTCCTTAGAGAAGATTCCAGATCATGTTTCGACTTCCATTTTGGAGCCGTCCGTGGAAATTGATCTTTCGTCATCACTAAGAGCAATACTAAGCTCCCAGTCACTTATGTCTGGAAAATGGACATCGAAATTCCAATTGAAATCAGTTTCCGTGACTTGATATTTAGTCATAACGGCGGATATGTAAATGCAGTATTTTCTATAGAACCTGAATGAAGAAATAAGCAAAACTCCGTGCCCCATATTATACTCTGGAAGATGTCCATTCTTTAGTAAATCTATCTAACAAATCATTTTGATATCACAAAGCGCGTAATTTCTTGCCAACCCCTTTTGCAAGCCATTACAGAAACTCTTGCTGAATTCTCCTAATTAGCACCTTAAATGCTTCAAAGTCGTTCTCCAAAGTAAATCGATTTAAAGAGAGGCGATTTCATTTGTAGTTCATTGATTTCCTCTTAAGTTGCAGAAATATAATTAGACAATAAGGTGGGAATGTAGTTAATAATAAAATTTATATTCACCACAGTGTATCCTCATGAAACTGACACACCAAAGATATAAATAAAGCTGCGATTTTTCACGGTCCGACTGCAAGCAGCACTTACTTGACGAAGCGATTTTAGAGAAAAATTCCGACAGTGCTCTTTTTCTCCATTAACTACTTTTCTTTTAGATTTACTAACTTTTTCCGTAAAGATTAAAAATATAACAAAAGCAGGAGTGTTTATTTGAATTCACTTAAGAATATTTACTCTAGCATAAATGTGTAATTTTAATGCAGAACATGTTAACGAATCGGTTTTATTAGTATTTTTGATAAAAAAAAATCGTAAGCACTTAAAAAGCCACGGAAAGAAGTTCCAGCATTATTTGAGCGTTGGCAATACATTCGTTTGTATATAGTCGAGTACTTCACCAATAGTCGCTTGTATGTTGGTTTGCTGAAATTAAAATGCAGCAATAAAAATTTTATTTTCATTAAAACAAAATCCTTCTGTAGTTTCTTACACTCGGTGCATTTAGTGTGTTATCATTTGAGTAGTTCACATTGTAAATGTCCCCCTGGTATTCGCCAGATACATGCACATTAGTATTATTCTCAGGCTCTTCAGCTGCCTCACCATCGGAACGCGCGGAGGTCGACGCGTCTATGAAAAAATCAAATTTAATACAACTGCGCATATTTTTTAAATACACATCCACTCTTCCTCACCGCCTTCTTCAGACCACAATCGATTCTGATGCTTGTAGTTGTAACGCATTTTTTCATCATCATCATTTATCCATTCCAACTGCAAAATTTCCCAACCACTGCCATCATAATTGAAATCTATAGCAAAACGAAGA